GTGCTGCCACCCATGCAGAGCCCAGGCCCTGCTCACCCTCCTCCTCACCCCCAGGTGAAGACGCCGCTGTTACTGATGCTGGGCCAGAAGGACCGGCGGGTGCCCTTCAAGCAGGGCATAGAGTATTACCGTGCCCTCAAGACCCGGAACGTGCCTGTGCGGTGAGTGCTGGGCGGCCCGGAAGCTGGCGGGCAGGGGAGGACGCCCCCCAACTTAAAACATTCCTGCCCTCCCCCAACAGGCTCCTGCTGTACCCCCAGAGCACCCACGCCCTGTCTGAGGTGGAGGTGGAGTCCGACAGCTTCATGAACGCCGTGCTCTGGCTGCACATGCACCTGGGCAGCTGAAGGCCCGCCTCTGCGCCAGCCGGTTGGCAGGGGCGGCCCTCGGTTCTGGGAGAGCCCGGGGTCTGGAAGAGCAGCGGGAGGATCCTGGGCTCTGGACTCTGGTCGGGCGAGCGAGAGGCGGGCTGTCTGGTTATAATAAATGAAGACAGTCTGGTTCCTGCTGGTCCTCTGTGCCCAGCCCCGCCGGGGGGTTCAGAGACCTCAGCCACGGGGACCTCATCTACCTCCGTGTGAGAGGGGAGGGCACCGTGAGGGATTCACCCATTGCTGTCCTGGCCAGCGGGGCTCCCCCAGGCCAGCTCCCTCTGCTGCAGCCCCTTCGGTTGGCAACTGCCTACACCACCCTTACGTGGGGGCCTGGGAGGTCCTGCCCTTCCACAGCACCCACAGGCCGAGGGGTGCAGGGCCGAGCCCCCAGGCCCGGGCGAGGAGTTGCCGGCTCATTCCCTGGAAGCAGAGACTAAAGCACGGCCCGGCGTGAGGAGGAAAGGTGGCTTTATGTCCCACAGGAAGCTCCATCCCTCCCAGTACAGGGGGGGACCGAGGCCCGGCCTAGCCCAGCCGCATGACCTTGTAAATCCAGTCCACAAACACAGAGACGCGAATGAAGACGGCTGGCCAGCGGGGCCGTGCGCACACGCGGTTGGGGATTATAATTCCCTCCAGGACCCAGCAGTCATGGGTGAAGCAGGCCAGGGGGCCCCCGTAGTCGCCCTGGTGGGGGAGACGGGGTGAGGGCCTGCGCGAGGCAGGGACCAGTCCCCTGGAGATGAACCAGCGCAGGTTCAGTTTTCCATCCCCTCCCTGTGGCCGGGCCCCGCCGCCCACCTCACAGGCGCCCACCGGGGCCAGCAGCCCCTTGGTGCACATCTCGTTCTCCTGCACGCGCCCGCGGTACTTGACGTTGCACTCCTGGTTGGAGATGACGTTCAGCAGAGCCACGTTGAGGACCGAGTTGTTCCCTGTTCCTACAGCGGAGGGAACGGGAGGGAGGGAGGGAGGCTTTGGGGTAGGACCAAGCCCCGCGGTCCGCACCCCACACCCCCACCGCGCCCCACAGCCCCACCGTCTTACCTCTGGTCTCGCCCCAGCCTGCGATCTCACACTTGGTCCCCGGAGGCACCACGTACTGCTCGGGGGGCAAGCAGATCAGGGCCACGCGCTGGTTCAGGGTGACGGGTCTTCGGCAGAAACGAGGGTGCTCAGGGCCCGAGGCCGAGAGGCCCGGCCCCACCTCACTGCCCCAGACTCGGCACACACCTCTCCAGCTTGAGCAGGAGCAGCTGGGAGTCGGAGGGCCCGCACACCATTTTGGCCACTGGGACCCGCTGCAGGCCTGGCTCCTGGGGCTGCGGGTTCTGGAACATGGTGCCCAGCCACACCTCATAGCCCACGAGAGGCTCATGGCTGGTGGACAGGCTGCTCAGTCAGGACTCGTGGTCCGCTGCCCGAGGCCCACCTGGTGGCTGGCCTGGGGAAGGTGGCTCGGGGGAGAGGAGGCAGGGTGATGGGACTGGGCGGGTCCCCAAACCCAGGTTGTCTCACCAGGAGGGGAAGCACTGCTGGGAAGTCAGCACCCACTGCTCCTTCACCAGGGAGCCCCCACAGAAGTGCTGGCCGTGCCTGGAGGATGAGGGTCAGTACAGGGAACAGTGAGGCCCGCACAGGAGTGGACCTGCCACCTCTCAGCTAGAACCTCTGGAGCCAGGACAGGTTCCCACCCTCCAGGGGCACAGACAGACAGCCTCGGCCCCTTGGGGATGGGGGGTGCGGGGGGGGCAGGCTGTTGGGCCTCACCGGTTGCGCAGGCTGACTGTCCAGGGTGAGTTCCCAGGCTGGCCCCCCACCACACGCAGCCTGGAGGGGTGCTGGTCCTGGCGGAGCACCCTCTTGCCACACTTCTCAAACAGCACCTGGTCTGGGGGCAGGATGGGCCCCATGTAACTCCCGCTGCGGGCAGGTGGGAGGCACTGGCGGGGCACCCCCATCCGCGCCTGGTTCGTCTGTACCTGGGGGCTCAAGGATGGACGGTGGTTGGTCCTCATCTGAAAGAGAGGATGTTCACCCCGTTCAGAAAGCCAGCCT